AAAGAGAGAGAGAGGGAGGGAGAGAGAGAGAGAGAGAGGAGGGAGTGAGGAAGGGAGCTTCTAAGAGAGAGGGGGTGAAGGGATGGAAGAAAGAAAGAAGCTTGAGAGAGAGAGAGAGAGAGAGAGAGAGAGAGAGAGAGAGAGAGAGAGGAATGGTGCTTACTTAGGAACTGGCAAGCCATCTATGATCTCCGTCCCCTGCCTGCCTAGAGCTACTCTGGGAGGGCGTCTGAAGGGAGCTGTAGGCTGGAGCTGACAAATGTCATCATTTTGACACCAAGCACACAGATACCTAGAAAATAAAGGATTACACCTTTAAAACAGAAGAGAAAAGACTGTATAACTGCAATGCAACAAAGATTTAAGGAAGCATTATCTTATTCACCAAACTTAATTTATTATTATATTTATTGGTTAGTTATTATAAACTCAGTACAGTGACTATATATTCCATTATGCTTTTTGGGCAATAAAAAAGAAGCAGAAATGGTCTACTAAAATGTTCAAGTTTGTTCTTCATTCTTTATGAAACACAGTCTTAGATCTATACATAAAGGCAAAATGCCAATCTTACTTTTCTTCAAGAAAAAACAGCACAGTACCTCCTTTAAATTTGCCAAAAATTCCATCAGTTACCACCTATTAATACCTTTTTATGTATATTCTCTGTGGGAAACTTTGGTCTTATCCACCCTCTACCAGGGCCATAGTTATTATTATGTGAACATTTTTGAAGGTGCAACCCTGTAACATTTGGCCAGATGGAAGCAATATAATTTGCACATGTGCAGATGGCATTGTACTCGCTCTGCAGGAGCTCTATGTGAATGTGATAAACACTTGTTATGCAATCTGGTTAGTCCTGGTGGTTTGAAGGACCACCCGGAAGCAACTAGCTATTCATAAGGGGCTGTTTTTATTATATAATATAATAATATAATAATAATTTATTGAGCACTAAAATGTTTCAGTACATTTTGCAGGCCCTCTAAACTACTTGTGTTATACATACATGTAATATATATCTAGACCTATTATCACACTTATGTGATATTAGGCTTTCAAACATAATTGTAATTATGTTTCATAATTACCTTATATACATAATCTACAGTAACAAGTGGAAGTATTTCTTATTAAATGTGGGGAAAAAAATTATCACAGATGAGCAAACTGGTTTGATTGCTGTCAAAGAGACAAGAGGACAGTAGTTAAATTATAATATAAAGTAGTTATGCTTACAATTGTAATCATCCTTGAGATTTCAGCACAGGGTCACAGTACAGAGATAAGTCATCTATTTAACCTGAGACTTATCTGCTAAAATCTAGTGAAAAATCAATCTATGGCCCTGGTAGAGGGTAGGTCTCCATACCTGATAATATGTATGTTCTCTGTGGGGGAATTTGGTCTTTTGAAGTGGAAAGCAACAGGAACTCTATAGATCCCAACATAAGGGGCTTTGGCTCTCACAGTAATATTGTAGGAATCACCTAATGTGAAAACAAAAAGCATAAAATTCAGATCAAACAGATGAAAAAACTAGAGCCCAGACAACTTGTAATACTTAAATTAAAAGAAGTGACTGACTCCATTCTTGCACTTTCAAATGACAATTTTCACAGAAAAAAAAACTTATTCATCTTTCCTTCTAAGCAAGGCCATTGTTTTTCTAACCCACAAGGACATACACTGTATCTTCACTTTGAGACACAAGTACTGTTGTACTGAAAAATTGCTGCCAGTTTTTTTTATTTTCACAGAACAATTTTCAACAAAAATACTTTTATTCTGAGGAAGTAGGGGTATTTCCTACCTTATACATATATCAAGTTTCTGAGGCACAAATACTTCAATACGGCCGCATTCACAACAGCGGTCTACCAGATCTGCGGATCGAATGTGCCCGACCCACTTGAATGCATCGCTTAATCCCCTCTGAATCTATTCAGTGTCTATCAGGGGATTATGCAGCAAGCTTATAAGTGGGTCACCATATTTGATCTATGTATTAGTCCACTGTTGTGACTGTTGCCTTACCATTACCGCATCACTCCAAATCATTGTCAGTTTCTGAACTTGCCTGCTAGGATGGTTTTAGTTGCTATGCCATCCGTCACTCTACCAGGGTCACTCAAACTGAACACCCGTAGACGTTTTAACATTTCACAGTGTTCCAGAATGACCGACTCACTGGTACTCATGTTCTTTATGGTCAAATTGATCTCAGTTGTCACTTTCTCTGTCAAGTCAAATTTGTAGCATCCCTTGATCAGTTCTACAGTGCTAGTGATGGTGATGTCAAACTTGTCAGAAATGTACTGGTCTCTGAACGAAAGAAAGAAATCTGTGAAGTTATGGTATGAATGATAGAACTTTATGGCAGCAGAATTGAATTTTTTAGATTGTAATTTTGGCAGCAAATTGGAGAGGAAATAATTTGGTGACATACGAAAATTGATGAAGGTTCCAGAAATGCCTTTTTGCAATATCAAGGCTCTAATTCTACTCAAATTGCTGTTTACTTTGGTACAGTTTTAATAGTGACTACATACATTATGATGGTTGTACACAGTATGTGAAAAAAAACTTATTTACATGCACTTCTTAATCGTGCTGTGACTTTTGGTTGATGCAGTAAATTAAAAAGGGTTCAGTTGAAAAGTTCATAAATTAAGCTTTCTGGCACTGGTTTTGTTTTAGCCAAATTACTTTTTATTAATTAGCAAATCTGAAAATTGTTCCTTCTTAGTTTGTGAAATAAAAAATAATTATGATAGCACATTTGCCTTATGAAAAAATTAACTCTCAACTGCAATTTGTCAGTTGTGTTATGTTATAAGAATGAAATTATATTTTCAGCCAACAGCTTAATATTTAAACATTGGAGGTAACACTATTTCAATATTAAGCCGTTGACTGAAAAAATCACTTCATTCTTTACTGAAATTTACTTTAGTGGAAAACACTAGCTAAGATATGCAACAGATGAAAACATGCCACATCAGACCTGTTGGCTCTAAGATTATAAACTAGAGACTGCACTCTGTGTCTTTTCCCTTTTGAGTGTTTCTCCAATTCTAATTCGGTGCAGCAATTCACCTGCAAATTAGAAAAAAAAATTTACTTTAGGTTGATATTTCTCACTATTTTATGTCAATTACTCATACAAAGGTAATTAAATATTTATATGATTATCTATATGAAATTTCAATGATATTTTCTTATTTTTTTCAAAACTAATCAAGAAATCTAAGCTATGAATTAATTCTAGTATTTCCAAAACTTACCTACAAATACAATCTACTAAATTAATCTAATCTAATCTAATCTAATATACAAGGGGTATTTATGCATACTTTATCACCTTGAAAGGGGTTATCACTAAAGTGGCATGGAAAAAGTACAAGGTATTGAAATATTTCAGACAATAGTTTCCACATCTCCTCCATGTAACCCTGTTGCCTTATAACTCAGCAGCTTATTGTTTAATATACTGTAGCTTGTATAAATGATGCAGAGTGGATTTCTTTTTTGTTATTAGATGAAGTAAATTGTATATTCAAACACTGCATAACTTAAACCTTAGTCTGTATATATCAAAGAAAATTTTCAGTCACAAAGTGGCAGGGTTCTGCCTAGTCCATTGCACATGTAAACTCAAGTAAAGATGGAATCAATTTTCTTATTGATTTATTTTAGTCATAAACATCATTACAAACCTTGCAAATTTGGCACAAGTGAAACTTGTTCTGCTTTGTGGGACTGTCTTCTGACTTTTTCTCAGAAACATTTGGTGAATCTTTTGATTTTGCTGACAAAGATATAAACTGGTCGACTGCAAGGCGTCCCTTTTTTCCTTGCTTTCTTCTGGACATTGGTCCCTCTTGTGATTTCAAAAACAAAATTTCCAGCTGATAATAAACTCTATACTTGTCAGCAACAATCATGAATGAGAATTCATACTTCGCATTCACTTCATTTTTAGATTTACATTTCCTCTTACTATAATATTATTACAAAGAAGGCTGTTTGCAGAACTGATTAAGTAAACTGCTGTAAAACATTCACCTGAGAAGAGTTAATCATAATCAGCAGGTCAGCATGAATAAATGCCACAGATATGTACAGGCATATAAAAACATCCAACTAAAAATTTACATATGGCAAATAAAATATGAACAATAATAAATTTGAGGCAAGCCCTTAGCCAGGGGGGTTGGGGAGGTTTGAAAGCACCCCCCTTTTGGCTGGGAAAAGGTTCCCTCGGGGTAAAATTTTATCTAGGTACATAAAGGTTTATGGTAAAAGGTCCACTTTTTCAGAAAAGAATCCCCTTTTGAAATTGCTGGCTACCGGCCTTTGAGAGCTACCTCACCTTCATTGTCTGGTGTTGCAGTGCTTCTTTTCGGGTCTTCACCAGGTTCTGGAAATCTGGCTGCAATTCTACTCTTCTGATTCTTTCTCCGTTTCTTGCTTCGACTATTGGCACGTCCGCCCTGATCACTGCCAGGTTGTAAAACAATCATGCCATTTGTTTTATGGACATGCCTATAATAATAAACATACTAATTATGTAATAGATATAATAGTCACAATACATGTACATAGTATGCTTTTGGCCTAATACATGTACATGTACCAATAAAATGCTTGCCATTGGCAATGCCATTTCAAATCAGTTATAACTTCTCTCTTGCTCTGTTTTTAACCCATTAGGGACATAAAGAAAAGACACTAAAGCTGCATACATGTACTGTATATGATGCTAACCTGTTGCAACAACATTTACCTGTGTATTTTTAGAGCAAACAATACAGTACTGAAATTCCTCACTCGTAGCTGTTGCCCGCCACCTTCACTGTTTCTCTGTGCAACATATGGCTTGTACTGGTTGTTAAAGATGTCCTTCAGTAACCCCTTTGGAACACTTCCAGCTATGCCCTGGAGATTCAAATAATCGAGGAAATCAACCCCCACTTGTTGTAACTCATGCAATGTTGCCCTTCCACCTCTTCCTCTGGGCGCTGCAGCCATGCTAGCTTCAAGACTGAAAAGAAATTTATGAGAGTCAAGTATGTGATATGCTGCTCAAAATCTTAAGACACACATATGCTGGTAGTATTAACGTCAATGATGTCCCTCTAAGTGATTCGACGTGTCAGATCGAGAAGTCTTGGGAACCGAGAACCGGCAAGTGCGGTAAAACAAAAGTTCACATATTTTGAAGTTCTGTACGCCAAAATAACCAAGATCGATGAATATTACGCTATACATGGTTTATCGACTACGTTTCATTATTTTAGTCACTTTTTAAAATATATTGTAATTTTACCTTTGATTTATGAGCCAAAACACAGCTTTCGATTTCACGTGTAAACTACCAGGAAAAAAGATATCTAAATGTCCAATGAAAAAGGAGAAAAGGAAATAACGCGGGGTGATAATTTTCAATATGGCAGCTTCCGGTTGGGGATTTTCTCTATTTTGCAGCAAGTAAAACGACTATCACGATCTTGATAGACGATCCACCATGAGCACATTTTGTGGACAAATGCGGGAGTACTCCCGGATATCCCTGGACAGATTTGACAAGGAGAACCTGGAGAGTACTGCGTTTTTCTTGTCTCATTGTCATACCGGTGGGTACTGTTGATTAGTAGTTGAAGTAGTTGAGGAGGTTGGCGCGAAAGCCTATGGCCTCCATAGAACATCTTGCGTTTTCTATATTTCCCCCACAGTTCCCAATTTAAAAACAATTATTGAATAGCCACACAAAATGACCTTATTGCATTTGACTCTTTTGAATTGAAAGTAGTACATGATTACATGATAATGGTATCCTCATAGTCTCTGTTGTTTATTTGCTTGTTTTCGATAGCTGAACATTTGATTAAAATTTATCTCATTTGCCTAGGGGACTCTCACGTTCCACGTAAAGAAAAATTTCCTAAAAACTGGAGATAATTAAACTAATTTTAAATTTTCAGCACAGTAAAGCTGTATAAACAGCCATCTTCAAACATTACTCCACAATGTGCATTTTATGATTTAATAAAATGTTCTGATTTAGCCCAAGTGCCTACCTGTACTCACTGCTTATAGATTTTGCTTTATCAGAAGATTTGGCTCTTAGAGTTCTATATTTCACAATTTATAAATATATATTTTAAACAACTCATAGAAAAATAATATATTCTATTTTACCACAAAAACGGCAGTTAAAGCAATAATTCTGTGCATGCCATCAGACTGTGTGACCTCCGTAAATGACTATACTCTGTAATAATAATCACTTAAGATAATCTTATGAGATTATTACAAAAAAAAAGAAACTTTTCAGAAGAAAATAAGGGACAAACTTTAGATGTTGAAATGGATTCATTAACCATTGGTAAGTATGGGGAAATTGCGGTTTACCCCAGGAATTTTTTTCCAAAATGAACAGTTGTTATCCCTTTAAAAGTATCATTTTAATTTCAGACCACATGGTAGGATTAAGCTATCCTAGCTTCCATTATCGTCTGAACTCGTGGTGAGTTTCAAATGGAGCATGTTCTGACACTAATTTGTGATTGAATTGCAAAATTGCATTTGAAGTTGATTACTGACAGAAACTAAATAGAATGGGATAGTGTTGTTGCATCATTGCTTTTATTATTATTATTATTATTATTATTATTATTATTATTTGGAAAATACATCTAAAACAGCAAAGAAAACCATCAACTTTCCTCTATTATTTTTTGGCAGATGTCACTTTGACTCAAACACACATACACACACCCACACACATAATATTTCAAGAAAATTTAACATTTCATGCCTTATTTCATTGCAGCAGAGACATAAAGCTTTATTGCTCTGAAGTAACCAGACAGATATTGTTGCACATGCAAGATGGCAATTACAAACACCTGGACAAGCATGTGGTAATGTTATATAAAGGGATTAGATATTTGAAAAAAATTCCAGTTTTCTTAGTGCAATCATAATATGGCATTATTACTGTTACAGTATCTTTATTTTTTCAAAAAACTTCACTCTTTGCTTGTGATGTAACATTAAAGGGGGTGTGTCTTTCTGCGGCCTTAGAATGAATAAAACAGACAGACATGCAGACAGACTGAAAGAAAAACATTTGTCTTGGCATGAGTATTTATTTCTCCTGTGGTTCATTTTCAGGTCGCATTATCTGAAAACAACCCAACAAGATTAAAGATACCAAATTTTTCTGGAAAGGCAGAAGAAGTGGTAGTCACTTTGATCCCAGCTGCCCATTGTCCAGGCTCTGTGATGTAAGATTGACCACTGGTTACTATGGTTAGCTTGATGTAACTGTTGAGAATTTAAATTATGGAGTGAGAATATGGATTATACAATTTGTAGATCATCTGAAGAAAGGGAGTTATGGAGGTCCATGATAGTCAAATTCTGCAATGATAAGATACTGAGAGAGAGAGATTGGAGAGAGAGTTGGAGAGAGAGAAAGAGTAAAAGGTTGCATCTTACTGATGTTACAGATAAGACATTTTACACAGTATTAAGACTGTCAAAATATTGAAATTGTTAATGAAAATTAATTATTGACCTTCTTGTTTTCTCAGGTTTTTGTTTGAGGGGGAAGAAGGAACCGTCCTATACACTGGTGATTTTAGACTAGAAAAGGGTTCTGCAGCAAGGATTCCGCAACTGAATTCGGGTTCTAGGTAAATGGTAGTAGTTGTTCACACATTAAATGTGGTAGATATATAGATTTCAATAGTTTTTTACATTTTATAATTATTTCTGTGTGGAGCAATTGAGCTTCTCTGACAAAGATGGCTTTGTTGATTTATGAGGTTTTTGATGATGGTTAGAGACCAATTGTTGATTTGAGAATGATATATTCTGAATACAGTTAAAGTTCCTTTTGGAGGTGGTTTGTGCTTTGTTGAGTACAGAAAACTGCATTTGTGTTTACATGGGTATTTATAATGCAGGAGTCCTTTTTCCTAATTCCATAAAATTAATTTATTAATTAACTTATTGAACAGATTAAGAAATAAATAAATAACTTTTAATTTGTAAAAAAAAAAAAAAAAAAAAAAAAAAAGAAAAAGAAAAAGAAACAAAGGAAGAAGGAATGAAGAAAAGAATGAAAACAATGTTGTTTTTTTTTTAATTTCAGGTCCAAAAGTATAAGAAGCCTTTATGTTGACACCACGTTCTGCACACCAAAAGCATTCCACATTCCAAGCCGGCAGGAGTGTCGAGATGTCATCATCTCTGTGATTGACAGTTGGATTCAGCTAAGCCCCGCCCACATGGTTGTACTGAGGGGCAAGGCTTCACTGGGATATGAGTATATTTATGAAGAAGTTAACAAGGAGTTTAAACAAAAGGTTTGATTAATTATGCCAAAGACAACAGACTTGGGGCCTGTTTGACAATAGACAATAAGTTGATGTTGAGGTTAAAACTTTAGCATTACTTAGACTTAGCTGACAAAGCTGCAATACACAAAAATCTTTAAGACATCTTACCTCATTTTGTAAGCATTTATGTAATGTATTTTTTTATCATTGTGACTGTGTATGATTTAATGGTAGCAGTTATAAAAATGAAAGTTATTAAAATATCTGTCAGTTAAATGGTGTCAGTTGCATTATTTATTTTATGGCATGTTATTTATTACCAGATTAACATTACATGTGATTTCATCATCAGATTCACATTACATTTTATTTTATTATCAGATTCACATGACATGTTATTTCATAACCAGATTCACATTACATTTTATTTTTTATTACCAGATTCACATTACATGTTATTTTATTATCAGATTCACATTACACATTATTTCATTACCAGATTCACATTACATTTTTTTTTTATTGTCAGATTCACATTACATGTTATTTTATTTACAGATTCATATAAGTGAACGAAAGATGAGAATGTACACTGGGGTGCCACAGATCAGCAAGTGTTTCACCACTGATCCCATGGGGACACAAGTACATGCTTGTGAGAAACAGGTAAGACTTGAATTGAGAAAGAATATCACCGCTCCCGTATTGAATCTGCTGATCAGAAAACACTTTTCAAGATCGTGGACCAAATATCGGAATCAAAATCATCTCAACTGAATGTCCTCCCAGACATGGAAATTTCAGAGCTCCCTCAACTTTTTTCAAATTACTTTACAGATAAGATCAAGAGCATTCGAAACGATCTCGTTTCTTATTCTTCTGTAGAAATCTCAGAAACCCCAGTTACCTGTACTCATGCAGTATTGACTGAATTTTCACCTGTATCAGAAGAAGATGTTTTAACATTAATGAAAAGCATGAATTCTAAATCTTCTGCGGCCTTAGATCCTGTGCCAACACATATTATGAAAGAGTGCATTACTGTTCTGGCCCCAGTTTTTTTAAAGATAGTGAATCTCTCTTTTACAACAGGCATCTTCCCATCCAACTGCAAAACAGCAACTGTTAGACCCTTGTTAAAAAAACAAGGCCTGTGCAAACAAGTGTTTAAAAATTATCGACCAATATCAAACTTGCCCTTCTTAGGGAAGTTTCTTGAGAAAATGGCATGTATACAACTGAATAACTATCTAGCTCAAAACAGTCTATATGGCAAGTTTCAATCAGCTTATAGAGAAGGACATAGCACAGAAACAGCTCTCCTAAGGGTTCATAATGACATCATGCTTTCTTTAGACAAACAAAAAGATGTTATTTTAGTCCTTTTAGATCTGTCTGCTGCATTCGACACCATTGACCACAACATACTTCTGCACAGACTACAGTACCGATTTGGAGTAAAAGATTTAGCACTTAATTGGTTAACCTCATATCTAAAAGATCGAACACAAAAGGTGTCAATTGAGTCGTTGCTATCAGAGCCCACTATTTTAGAGTATGGTGTCCCTCAGGGGTCTGTGCTAGGTCCATTGCTCTTTTCATTGTATATGCTACCAGTAGAAGACATTATAGTTAAACATGGTCTCAACACTGTCATTTTTGCTGATGACACTCAAATTTATGTCACAAGTGAAAGTAATCGCTCCATGGCTATCACCTCAATAGAAACTTGTCTAGTTGAGATCCGAAATTGGATGAAAACAAACATGCTAGCACTAAATGATGGAAAAACTGAACTAATATGGTTTACATCAAGGTCTAAGTCAGACAGGGGAAATGCAATGAAATCTGATATTTGTATCGGTGGTGTCAACATCAATCCATCTAGCTATGTGAAAGATTTAGGTGTCACCTTTGATCAGTATGCAACTATGGATAGACGGATCTCTGAAATTTGCAAATCGGCATCATACTCACTTTGGCGAATTAGTAAGATACGTGACTTACTGGACAAAACTTCAACTGAAAAACTAGTCCATGCTTTCATTACTTCTAAGCTTGATTATTGCAACAGTCTCTTATATGGTTTAGGCAAAAATCATCTGAACAAACTTCAATTAATTCAAAATTCTGCAGCTAGGCTGGTAACTAAAATGGGATGGAANTGATTTAGCATAAAGTAGTGAAGATTTCGAACTTGACGTGATGTTATCGGGAAATATTTATAACAAAACACTACATAAATTCAATGTATCTGTGAGTCATAATTTGAAGAGAATCTGACAGTTTACAGCAAGTGCTGCAAAAGATTCCACTGCTTATGTTTAGAGAATGTTTCATAATACATCATATATAATATCACTCTGCCGGGTTACTTAGCTAAAGCTCATTAAAATTATACTATTTTGGACAAAATGACAATTTTCTTTGGGAGATTTTCAGTCACAGTCATATTTCTTCTAACGGTACATCGAATTGCGTTTGTTGAGCAATTTTCTTCACTGCGACAACTGGGCGTGGCGCGTGCACATTCTTGTTGCTTAATAGCCGTGACTGACTGTCGATGACGAGGCTTCTAGGAGGAGATGAGTAATCCTGTCGCCACTGCGCGGTTTACCGTGTAATCTCTGACAGGTTAATCATTCACTTCCTAGCTTTTAGAGTTGTTTGGCTGGCAGGTTTGAAGAAGCGTAACAGCATGGCGTCAACACTGGTTGTGACTGTCAAAGCACTCCTGACATTATCTGTCATGTCTGGCGTGGCGGCCCAACCTCAAGTTACCACGAAAAACGGTGTAATAGAAGGATTTGGGACGACAGTAGAGGGACAGTCTGTGAATCTGTTCTTAGGGATTCCTTTTGCTGAACCACCTGTAGGAGCTCTGAGGTTTATGAAACCACAGCCGCCCTCTAACTGGACTGGGGTTAAGCAGACCATCGCTTTCGGTGCAGCGTGTATGCAGACTGCCACTGACCCAAGTCCTTATGGCGACCAGGTAGTAACAAAAGAGAGAGAGAGAGAGAGAGAGAGAGAGAGAGAGAGAGAGAGAGAGAGAGAGAGAGCATGTCTGCTGTTGTTTTTTTTTGGAAAGTTTTAGAACTTCCTTAAAATGTTAGTATGATATTTTACCTTAAAATTTCGGATGTTTTACCTTTTTGGTCATATACCTACAGCAGTGGATAGATTTATAGCGTCAGCTACATTGATGTTTTCATTTCACTCTTGTCAAAACAGAAGACTTGAATCACCCTTTTAACGATCAAAGTGCATAGTGTATAGGCCTGAATTATTAATTACATGCACAAGTAAACAATGAATGCTAAGACCCGCCTTAAAGACAGCAAAGGAAATACAGGGTAAATTTTGTCAGCGTAGCCGGGTACCACTCCCTTTACGGGTGACTGCTTCACATTATATCTATGTTTTTATTGGTAATATGTAGACCTACTTATTAGTATTACATGATTGGTCGAAATCTCGTGTTCAAAGGAAGCCCCTGAATTCGACTGACCAGCCTTTTGGTAATTATCTTAGTTATACTACTTGAAACTATATGCTGGCATTTGGTTGGTTTTTGTGACAAAAAATTGACTATGCATCTATAACTGGATTAAAAAAGATTAACGCGCCAGAAGCATGATCTTATTTAATGAAAATGAAGACGTTCTAGTTACGTTTGTACAGGAAATAGTCTACTTTTATTCAAAGCTCAACTGTGCTATTATTGACAGTGTAAATAAATATTTTGCCATTTTGTCATGTGACATAAAAAAAAAATGTGTTGGCAGTAAGCCATAAGGGGACTTCTACTAATAATCGACACTGCACTTTTATGACATTATTTTTGCAACCATTGTTGGAAGGAATGGTAGTATCAAAGAATTTAGACAATGAATGTAGATATCGATTGATTATCAGAAAACATTCATGCCGGTGTTACAGGAATAGTGGTCCTAGGATTGGAAGTCCGGGGTCCCATATTATAAGTACAGGTTAGGGTTAGTTGGGGTATTGGGGTTAGAATATGGGACGAATGTCACCTGATTACAAAGTAATGGGAAAGGGACTACGGTTCCTAGCGAACTTCCATTCTCGTCACAACGGACATTATGATAATGAGGTGAAGTGTCCGTATAACGCATTACGCAAGATCATCAATAACGAGATAAAGGCACATTTAAAGTGAGCGTGGTGACGCCGATAGCACACATACTGATCTTAAAGACATATAAAACGTGTTAGACTTTATAGAAGGGCGGATCAGGTGAGCCTCTCCAGGGGATTTCAAACAAGGATGCGGGCTGCTTATCTTCATCATCACTCTTTTGAAAACCATTTAAAAGCTCTATTTGTAGTTTCAATTTTCTGTTGCCTTTATAAAAAAATGTAAAAAAATAAACATACTGTTTCCTTGGGCCATGGATTAAGGCCATGTCGGAAATATATTTCTTTTCATAAATAACTATAATGACTTGAGGTCTCCACAGTGCACCTTCGCCATACATGCATAGATGCTCCCTCAAGGTAATTAAAATATTTAATTTTTTCAAAGCTAGGTGTGTATTGACTGAACTAAAGCCTCCTTTACACCGGACGGCGTCATATCTGCGTCCTGAAGTACGGTCCCGTTTAAAAGTAAAAAAAAAAAGATGCTTAATACTGGCCGATCATTGTGCATCCTTTTTAAGACCACAGCGATGCCAGTTTTCATGGTCGCACAAAGGACGCAGAAGGGACGCCGCCCAGTGTAAATGGGGTGTAAGAAATACCACGATGCAACTAAATCACAAGGTGATAAAAGCGCCAGCGTCTCACTGAGGAGAACATTCGTCAACCCTTAATTCAAGTTAGTTCAAAACCTTGTATGAATAAGACCCCATTCTCACAGATTTTAGATCGATCTATCCCTGTGGGGTGTCTCACTAGATTACTGTCAGCTTAGCCGGTTTAAGCGTCTGTCCCGCCTACAAAAAGCTGTAAGGGGGCAAATAACTACCGTATCGCTCGGCTGACAGCAATTTAGCGTGAACCCCCAAAGAGTTAGGTCGATCTAGATGGATCGATCTAAATCTATGGGAATGCAGTCTAAGATTTATATTTGCATTGCTGTGCAAATTTAAACAACTATTAGAGAGCTTGATCGTGTGTCTATTCTTGTGAAATAAGGTAATAGTAGGCTGAGGTGTACTCTTACGAGTCTTAGTCAGGGCTGATGCGACAAAACCGGTTTAAGGTTATGCCTCTAATGAGGACAAGTTGACCTTAGCATATGAAACACGAGAAGTATGAAACGTCTTCTTTGGTCCTAGTACATTTTTGTGAGGAGGTTGGGTTTGTTTGGCATAGAGCAGGGAGTGACTTATCCTCTACCAGTGCCAAAGATTGGACGTCACTAGATATTCACTGATACACAGCGTCTCTGGTTAATTCTGTGCACTTTTCTGTGACCGGTGTAACGAAACTGAGGTTCCGTGTGACAGAAAGTCCGCCCTCCTTATAGTTATAATGCTTAGGGTTAGTTTGACCAGGGAATTATATCGGTATAATTCCCTGGTTTGACCTAAGTGGGTCAAATTCTAGGGCGAGGCTCACCTTTATAAATGAATGGGAAGCGGGCTCTCTGTTATGGGGGACTTTCTGGTACATAACAACGGTGATAATTTGTACATGATTTATGTGATATCCCTCAGCTGAACTTAAGTAGAGAGCAGAAATAATTTGAGACTTCAATCCAAAGTGATATTATTTTAGCCGATTAATCCTGGTCTGCCTCTGCTAGCCTTTTCTCCGGGTGGTGTCCAAAATATAAGTTTGAAAATTGGCCGGCGAAGTTAATGCGATGATACGTCATTTGTTGAACGTACCCGCAGTTTTAACATCAGATACTTTTTGTCCTAAAATTGCCAAATCGCACATGGGAGGGGAGGGGGAGTATGACAGAGGCATTTGCTTATGTACATAAGCACTTTAAGTAATTCACGTGGTGTCTTTGTTTGTAGCCAGCTTTGGTTAAATTTGTGCGTTCCTGGACAATACGTCTACTGCAAACTATGTCTGATTTAATTAAGGGAGTGGATCCTTCGGAATCTTGATAGAATTACCGGTATACAGGAAAATGCCACGCAATCACAACGTTTGTGAGCGTATGTCTGATTGAGGGATAGTGTTAATGATGATGATGATGACTCTTTTTCGTCAAAAAGTTTAATTAGTTAACCATTTTAAACGTGCCATGAATAGACAGCACCGTTAACTTTTCAGTCATTAATTCCTCTCTTTAACTCCAGCTGTCTGAAGACTGTCTAACCCTGAATGTGTTCGTCCCC